GTTTTATATTATATCAATATCAATATTTATTTTATTTATTTATTTTTGTAATTATTATTATTATTATTATTATTATTATTATTATTTCAATAAATAAAAATTTATACTTAATATTAATAAAAATTTAAATTTTATTTTATATTATTTTTCAAAAGTATTGAAACAATTTTAGTTTAAATGACTTAAACTATGATAACTTACTAGGTAATATTTTCGAAATCTGTTATTAAGCCTGAAGCATATGTATAATGAAAAAGACCAATCATGTATTGACTCGATTTTTGAGTGGACAGATAACAGGATATCTTGTGTTACTGAGTATAAAATTATATAATTCTTTATTATATATACTCTGGACTAACTACCTAAAGATCATAAAAAGATAAGTCATATTAAAATACTAATTTTAATATTATTTTTATATAAAAAAACTATTTAAAAATGTAAAATAAAAATATAAGACTTGAATATATAAATTATTTTTTTATTATATAAGTCTATAAATTAAGTATTATATATAAATTATAAATTTATTAGCTTTAAAATGTTACTTAATTGAAAGAGAATATTAAAAATGCTACTTTTAAAATTTATATATGAAAACTGTTTAAAATGTATTTTAAAATTATATTTAAGCAAATTGTTATACAAATTTTAATCATATATTTATTTTATAAAACTAAAATTATATTTTATATGTATTTTTATTAGTTCTACAAATTAACATAATACATAAAAGCAGATTTTCTAAAAAAATCATTTAAAAATCAATTTTAATGATAATATTTAATTGTAAGGGCTAAAAGATTAATTAATTTTTTACAACACCAAAACAGACTGAAAAATTAATAGAAATTCAAAAAACTTGTCATACTAATAATGAGGTAATTTATTAAAAAATGCATTTATTTAATTAAGTTAATATTAATACATTAATTGTTTATAGTATTCTATTTAAATAATTTAATTTATTTAATATTTAATGTAAATAATAAAAAAAAACAAAAATGTTTAATAATATATAAAAAAATTTTATTAATATATTATATTTTTATTACAATAAATAAATAAAATAAAGTTCTTTATCCTGTTTTATCCATTATTAAAATCACGGATCACCTGATTGCGGATAAACAGATATCCAGGTAAAACCACTAATTCCCGAATATTTGTATTTATTTTTCGCATGTATTAATAAAAAATTTTTCTTGCAAAATTAACAATTTGTTCACCGGTGATATTTTATTAAAAATGCTAAGTACTTTAAAATTACAACAAACAGGATAAGCGTTAAGTGCGCAAGTTTCTTTGGATCATTTCTTCAAATGAATTTACAATCATCAATTAAAATTCTTTAGTGTTTCACTTTTCAATTGAACACAACCCACCCATATGTACTTGAAATTACAATAAAGAGGATAAGCGTCTAAGAAGAATGAGAAAAGGAAATTACATTCTTGATCTTGTCAGTTATTGGACCCGTTGGATTATTGAAAATCCAGTATTCAACACGTTCAAAGATCGACAATGCCATATCATCATAATACTCGATATGATTACGGTTACAATTGCATTTAATATCAACTCGCGAACTAGCCAACAGTTTTTTGATTAATCCGTCAACTAAACGGCAATCAGCATGGATAGGAGTAACATACCCTTCTGCGAAAACTGCGTTACAAGGGCTTTCTTCATGTTGTGAGATACGATCTTCGAAATCACAATTTTCATTGCTAATATCGAGACCAATTTTATAAAGTTCCGGTTGATCTAGAATATCTAATTGAGATAATTGACATTAAATTATATTTAATTTTTATGTGTTTCATCTATATATACTTACCAATTCTATGCATGATGTAAAAATTGCCTCCTTCAACAGGGCGCTTAAGATCGAGGCTACGTTCGGTAAAAATAAGTGGCCAAATTATTCATGAATTCGTCAGTTAAAGATGAGTATATAGGAATGGACTTCAAATATTCTTTGGCGTGAATTGCAGCGACAAACTTTGGTTTGTCATGTTTTTTGCATACCGGATGAGTCATATATGACTTTATCCGACACGCCAAACTACACGTCCTATCAGTAGTAGTGTCAATAGCTTGACAAAATCCTTTATTGTTCCTAGCTTTATTAGGAGGGTGAAAGAAAAAAACATTGCTCATGAAACATTTGAAACTATTAATTAATGAGTATTAATAAAACATACGGGACAAAAACTTTATTCTATTATTATCATAGCTTCTTCCTATTTTAGCCTCGAAAAAGTTGCGGAAAATAGTATTGCTTATAATCGAAGATTGCGTACGTTTGTTCATTGTTGCTCAGGTAAATGTGTGGTTAACTGTTAACTGTTAATGAAAAAAAAATAACAAATAACGAAGGTGCCAGAAATGACGTCATTTTAAATCATGATGACGTTCTACAAATTATAACATATTTCCTAAAATGGATGATGACAAATTTCTAAAATTTTAATGACGTCATTACTGGCCCTCATGATATTACCCAATCAAATTAATTTTTATGTGATCTATGTTTTGTGTAACATAAGAAATGTTCTTTATATACTTTATTCACCTCTGTTTTTTTGGGATATATGCTTACCTCTTTATGCGTTTATTCATCCAAATTTACTATAGTATAAAGGTAAGTCTTCGCTTTTTTTTGACTATACACTCACCTTTTCTTGCATTTCTTCGTCTAGATTTACCACGTATAGGGTAAGCCTTCATCTTATTCCTCTTTTTAAACTATGCTACTATGGTATAAAGGTAAAACACTTTATTTCTCTTTTTTTTGAATTGCATACTTACCTTTTTTTTTCATCTAAAGTTACTACGGTATAATATACTGGTGTCAGTGCAAATTGGTAAGATTTGAGAGCTCGGTTTCTATACACGTGATTTTGCTGGTGACTGATTACAAATAGGTTTTACGTTTCTACTTCTGATAATATATATTTTTAGGATCCTTCGCCAATTTTAATTGGAATTTGAAACCTGTTGGGTAAAGCATGGAAATCGTTAGGTGGAGCTTGGAAATCGTTGGGTGGAGCTTGGAAATCGTTGGGTGGAACTTGGAAATCATTGGGTGGAACTTGGAAATCGTTGGGTGGAGCTTGGAAAGGTGAAACCTGGCGGTGGAAGTGTGAAGCCCGGTGGTGGAAGTGTGAAGCCTGGCGGTGGAAGTGTGAAACCTGGTGGTGGAAGTGTGAAGCCCGGTGGTGGAAGTGTGAAGCCTGGCGGTGGAAGTGTGAAACCTGGCGGTGGAAGTGTGAAGCCCGGTGGTGGAAGTGTGAAGCCTGGCGGTGGAAGTGTGAAACCTGGCGGTGGAAGTGTGAAGCCCGGCGGTGGAAGTGTGCAGCCTGGTGATGAACTTAGATATTCTCAAGAGAAAACAGAAAACAGATGTGAATATGTTTATGGTATCTTCTCGACAGGTGAGATTTTTTTCAGCATTATTTTTTCGATTTGTACATTACTAGCGCATATTGCTAACAGTAACCAATTGGTATTTCTTCCTCCACAGTACTGAAAGTATCTACGGACTCAACCGAATTACGCAAATAAGAAGCGTCGTGTAGAAGAGATAATCAAGAAAAAATAATTATATAGGACACTAGCATAGAAATTTCATGTACCCCGGGCTAGTCCCGAACTTTTGTATTTATTTTTTATCTTGTATACTGAAATAAAATTTTTTTCTTGGCAAATTTTCGCCGACATCGGGTCGTCAAAATCACGTGAAAATTTTTTAATTTTGAATATTTATATATAGTGCACAAACAGTGATATTGGTCATGTCATCAGAGCAAATTCCTGAATTTAGAAAGAAGTTCACTGAGGTTGAGGCTAAGAACATCGTGCTTGAGGCTAAGAATCTCAAGGCTATTGCCGAAATTGTGAAACTAAGAGCCGAACTTAAGAGCAGAATCGAGGAGTTGAAGAAAAGTAGAGCGGATACTGATGTTGAAAATACTAGGCGCGATTATAGAGTCAAAGAATTAAAACAAAAAAATACAAAGCTTGAGGCCAGACTTGTGATAGTGGAATAGGGTTCAGGTTCAGCAGTGGATTGTCAGCCACAAACAATAAGGAAGCGATACTAGAGGTAATGGTATCGACTGCTAATGTACCCAGTTCTGTAGTATACCAGCATGAGCAGTGTGAGCCTCATGGTGAAACAAATAATGTGGTACTAGAGGTGTTAAAAGCAACTTTGTGAAGAAGATAGAAATACCGATGAATTCTTAGACGCGGTACATTAGAAGCGGGTTGGCGATGAGATCAGGCAATGCAATAGGAGAAGAAACTTAGCAAAGCAGGGTAAGATCAAGTTTCATTACAAAAATATCAGATACTGTTACCTCTACTAATATCTCTGGCATCTCTTCTGAAAAAAACATTATATCAGGAAAACTGAAAAATGTAATATTTACGTAATTTTTATAGTAATGCATTAATTTTATATAATATATTATGTCTT